TCAACCTGTCTGGCGCACTGCCGTGAGACATGCGTACGTTACTATGGTGATGGCGACCGCAATGCAGCGATGTTTAAGTGCTCTTGTGAAGTCCACTTTGCTTTGGCTCGATCTCGGCCGAGCGAAGGCGCTCCTGGGGAGATTGGCGGATCGGTATTAGAGTGCACCCCGTGTGTTTTGGCGTTGGTTGGTTCCTTCAACGGTCACGTTGTTGCTCAATAACTCTTTGGAAGTGTGGAATTGAACTCGTGTCCAGAAAAGAAATGGCAACAGCAGGCATTGGAGATGTTTCTAACCGTTTATCGTCGCTCACCGTGACATCTCTTGAGCACGTGGCGCAGAGTCAGGCTCGCGCTGGGATGACGTAGACGTGGTACGGTATGTGTTGGTGGGGCGGGTCGTTTTCTCAGGCTGACCTGACTTGACCTGGCTGGCGCTGTTGCAGACGGCGTCGGACACGCAGAGCCTGGTTCACCTCACGGCCATCCTGCACGAGTGCCTCAAGGACAAAGGTCAGCCGGGAGCCGGTCAGGCTGTAGATACCACCAAGGTGTCGTGGCCCTCGCTCCTCGTGGGAGGGACGAGGCTGTTGCCGCTCCTCCCTTGAGGAAAGAGGGATGCGGTCGCTGCCTGTCTTCCTTAGAGGGACGCGGCACCAGGCCGATCACCGCGCCGGGAAGCTGGACGCCTCATTGCCAGTTTATGCCACGGAAGTCGCTTTGCTGGCCGTGAGCCGACGCTTGGCTGCTTGCATGTTGAACACGCGGTCTGGCTGAAGTCGCGCCGGACAAGGCTGGGGCCGCGGAACTGCGCCGACCCGTGCCATCTGTCCGTCGTCGGGGCGTTTATTTATGACGAATGCTCGGCTGCCCCGCTCAAAACATTAAATCGTAAACGGCGCTCAGGCAGATAAATCCGTCAGGGCAGATTGCCGTCCTGGCACGACGGCCGGCCGTTCGTTAGCAGCGCCATCTGTCGGGCCGGTCTCCCTGCCAGGCAGGTGCCGGCTGCAGCGGTGTCGACGCCGCTACGAGCTGCGCCGCCGCCGCCGGTGTCGTGTCGGAACCGACGGAAGGCGGGCCCTCCGCCGCCGGCGGGTGCCGTCCCTGTCAGCGGCTCGAGATGCGGCTGTTTACGGCGGCGATTGGAGCGGACCCAACGGCGATTAGTCGACGGAGAGTTATGCGTGCTTTGGTCGGGTGTAAGCGCCAGCTGCTGGTGCGGTGTGATTTGTTTCAGGCCGTCTGTAACCTCGCCTCTCGCGATGGTACGCGAGCGCACCGCGTGCGCTTCTTCGCCATAGATTTTATCCTTCACACCGCAGTGACGTGACGTATTGGGGAAGTCCCTGCTGCCGTGCTCTGCCGCCCTTGACGGCTGAGGAGCCCTCTGGGACGTATGCTGCGCTCGCTCCGCCGGAGGCTCGGGTGCGGCGGTGTTTCGACCACTCGGCGCCGCCGGTCGCGTGCCAGGCACGGCCGCGAACACGCCGGGGAGTGCCGCGGCGGAGGGCGCGTCGCACGCACCGTCCCGGTCACGGGGCACGCCAGGCGGGGGAGGATGGGACGGGTTCGCCCCTTGATTGAACTGGAGCCAACGCCTCAGTCGGCCCGCGCGCCAGGGATGGCTGAGTTTGCGCGGATTCTCGCCGGGTTTGTGATGTCTGCAGCACCTGAGTAAATCTCGAAAATCGTTCGGCGGCGATCAAAGTGACGAGAGCCTGGTGGGGCTTTTGTTTCTCTGATCTTTCGCTTGGCTCTTGCGCCAAAATATGCAAAGCTGCCATGGTTGGCACGGAGGGCGTCAATATTGACTAGATTCAACCTATCCGTAAGAAAAGCGTGCCAACTGGTCTATAGTCGAGGACGCTGTGATGTAACGCATTAGGGGTAAAAACTCACGTCATGAATACACCGAGAGGACGCGTGTTCAGCGGCAGAGAGTGCTGCGGTCGACACCCGCTCGGTGAGTTGGGAGGTATCAGGTGTGGATGGGAGATTGACAACGGCCTGCAGATGGGCTGTCGCGTTTGGTGTAGGAGTTGCCGGCATGAAAAACAGAGATGCGTGTCAGTAGCATGCGGCGTTTCGCGAGCCGTATGCGTGTGAGTGTCTGTTCCGTCTACCTGCCGCCCGCCGTGCCCTGGCCGGGCCGGCCGAGCGGGCAGCAGTGACGGAGCGGACCGACTGCCGGCGGCGCCTCTGATCGACAGATGTCCATGATCGTCGGGTGACAGCGTACGCAGCGCCTTCATACGCCTCTGCACCGGCGTCGCGCAGGGCTCTGAATAGCGTTTGGTGCAGGACTGTGTTAATTTAAAGTTTGGACGCCTTCCATCGCTTTCGCAGAAGCAGCTGCCTCTGGGTGCCAAAGTTTCTGATGACTCTCCGGGCTTACCAGGATTTGGAGTTGAACAGCGCTTGTGGTGGATATCCATTGGACAGATTGTTGGAGGGGTTTGGGCCAATCAAGGTGAATAGCGATGAAGATGTTCCAGATGCGTGAATTGTGACAGTTGAGCCTGGAAAGCGACCCCAATGTTTGGACCTTCATGGAATGCCGTCTATAGCCTTAGGCATGCGTGTCGTTCCTTTTGGGTGTAACAACAGCAGAAGGTCCTTGGAGAATGGAAGTTCGTTCACGTGCGGCGAAGTGCTCCCAAAATATCTGAAGCTGCTCTGTAGCATTCTTAACTTCACCGAAATAACCCCAGGCATAGTACAGTGTCCGTTCAAGCTGTGTCCGACAGTGCTGTATCTGAGGTGTTCGTGTGTGACCCTCTGTCCCCTGTCTGACAGAGTGTTGTGGGGAGGTGTGCCGCCGTGTCTGTCGGAGGCTGGCGGTACCGAGGTGCTGGTGTCTGACCCTCCTACGCCTGTCTGACAGAGTGCTGTGGGGAGGTGTGCCGCCGTCTGTCGGAGGCCGGTGGTACCGAGGTGCTGGTGTCGATGCTGCGCACGCTGGGGCCGGCCAGCCAGCAACACCAGACTGTGGCCGACGCCTACACCATACTGGCCAAGATTGGAAAGAAAGGTATCTTAAGTTCTCCACTAATGCACCAAATGCATTGCATTTTACATCTGTTTACATTCAGATCTCCTTTGTACGTACCTTACATTTAACGTTTACGCCAATTACCGATGGTGTAAGCTTTTATGATCTCTGTCACTTAAGTGAGAAACCTGGGATTGGGTCTCCTCTGTGGGAGAGAAATTTGGGATTAGTTTTTTTTTCTCGAGGAATCTAGTTTGTCCGTGCTTCTGCCAGTGTGCTGCGACAATTTTATCCAAATTTGGTGGGTCTCCAAAAGATCGCACGGGTTTCGCAACAGATCGTATGACTCCGAAATGTGTTATGGAGTGTTTTCATATCAGTAACCAGTAACATGTTTTTGCTGGGCACTGCCCGTGCCAGCTGCGAAAGCGTGCTACAACTGGCGTATTCCTTGGGAGTGTCCCCGTGCAGCCCGCTCTGACCGCCGCGTGCTCTCCTCCCCTCGCCCCCTTCCCCCCCCCCCCCCCCCATACTGACCGTCGCGTGTCGCCCGCGCCGTTGCCAGACGCGCGCTTCGCCGTCCGGTTCCGCCTCTGCGGTGGCCTGAAAGTGCTGCAGCGCGGCCTGCAGGAGGGCGCCGCCCGCTGCCGCGTG